CCTGAGCAGATAGAAAGTTACTGTTTTCAGCAAACTTGTTCAGGGGGTCAAGACTTTTTGGCTGGTGAACAGTAGCCCAGAATTTTCTCACCAAAAAGGCGCTAGTAAACGTGTACAATTCTCGCTTATGCTAAGCTCGAGATTCTGAATAGGTAGAAAATTACTGTCTTCGAAAAAGTTGTACATGAGGTCAATTCTTATTGCTTGGTGCGCAATAGTTCAGAATTTTCACACTACGTGGCATTAGTATACACGCGAAATTCTCGCATGTAAAATTTCTCGTGATTCTGATCAGATAGATTTTGCTAGTGGACAGTAGTTCAAAATTTTCTCACTACGTAGCACTAGAATACACGTGAAATTCTCGCATGTGGCTTGTTTCGAGATCCTGACCAGATAGAAAGTTACTGTCTTCGACAAAGTTGTTCAGGAGGTCAAAGCCTTTTTGGCTGGTAAACAGTAGTTAAGAATTTTCTCACCACGTGGCGTTAATATACATGTATACTTCTCGTATATGCTATATCTCGTCAAGGTCAAGGTCTTTTGGCTATCTGGTCAGGATCTAGAGATATTTTATATGAAAGAGTTTCATATGTATAGTAGCGCCGCAAAGTGAGAAAACTCTGAACTACTATCCACCTGCGAAAAAGCCTTGACCTTCTGAACAACTATGCCGAAGATAGTACCTTTCTATCTGGAAGGGAAGTCGAGATATTTTATATTTATATGAGAATTTCACGTGTATACTAGCGCTACGTAGTGAGAACATTCTGAACTACTGTCCGCCAGCGACAAGGCTATGATCTCCTGAACAACTTTGTTGGAAAAAGTAAATTTCTATCTGGTCAGGATCTCGATATATTTCATGTTGTAAGCAATTAAGTCAAATCCCACTTAGTATGGTCACAGTTTACGCGGTTTCCATTTACATTTTCCCTATTATCCGCACTTTTTAGGTGTTTATTGCAATCAAAGTTTACATTGTTTAGATCAAAACAAGTTTTTTGAAGAATACTCGTTGGTTTCAGATCGATTGGTAGCTCAGCAACAAAATGGCAATGGAAAACTCATGGGTGTTGTACAAAGTACAACAGCGCGAGTAACGGAGGCTTAAAGCAATTAGAGGAAAAATACATTGATCATCAGCTTTCATTTGAACAGTGTGTTACCACGGATAGATATGATTTAGAAACTATTGTAAAGCCTGCAGACGAGTTTGTTTCATTTTTCTGCTTGAAATTGACAAGTTTGATACCACATGATTTCATAAAAACACAGCAATCTAATTTTTTGAAAACTACACGAAATAATTTGCAAGAAGGTGAATTTTTAGTAACTTGCGATTTTTTCCGAAAACTACAGCTTTGTGTTACAGGATGAAGTTCAGTCTCATCACTGGAATGTCCAGCAAGCTACCATTCATCCATTTGTTATATATTTAAGAGAAAATATGCAAGTTAAACATTATAATTTCTGAAGAGTTACGACATGACTCAGTGGCTGTTAACTTATTTATTTCTAAAATGATAAGTTTTTTACGCATTAACCAAAGTAAAAATATCAATAAGATTTATTTTATGTCCGATGGAGCAGCGTCACAGTACAAGAACCGGAAAAAATTTGCTAGCCTTTGTAAATTTAAATCAAAGTATGGAATTGAAGCCGAATGGCATTTCTTTGTAAAATCACATGGGAAAGATCCTTGTGACGCTATTGGAGGTACAATAAAACGCATGGCTACTAGAGCAAGTTTGGCCAAAGAACGTGAACATCCAATAAACAAATGCAAGAGAGCTTTATAATTGGGCAAATAATCGAAAAGAAAAAGAATTAAGAAAAGTTTTGCCACAACAGAGGAATACGAAAGTATGGCTTCACACCTCAACGAGCAATATAATAATGCAAAAATAATTCAAGGAACTCAAAAGAACACAAACAAACACGTTAATCGTCGGCCTCCCGTGAACAAAAGAACAATCCTGCAAACAAACTATAACAAATCATAGAAGAACTATTCTTCTACGTGTTTGTGTTATTAGTTTTTCCAGACTGAGCCCCAATCCGCGAGAAACCGACAAATGACGTGCCCATCTACAAAAGCAACTACGCTCCAACCTCGAAGCTCTCCGGAAATATGTGATAAATCAAGTGGTGTTGAGTACTTGGCACTGATGAAGTCTGCAAGTAGTAGACGAAATACGCGTATCTGTCAAAAGATAAGCAATTATAACGGAATTTAAAGGAAATAAACCAACCCACTCAAAGCTCTTCATAAAGGGATTCCGTTAAGAGGTTCGACAAATTTAAAGGATTGATAAATCATGTAAATGTAAATGGAATACAGTAATGTCCCGATTTTGTCAGCCCACTTTTTTGAAAATGTTTTCCAATGTTCTACAAAACCCATGCCCTTTTTCAGTAATCTTTTTGAACCTATTGCACCAAAGTATACTTTAAATATCTCTCTTAACGAATGACGAATGAGAAAAATTTAGATTTATGATTATGTGGAATTATTGAAAGAAAAAAGTCTGAAGCGCGGAGGGGCTGACAAAATCGGGTCATTACTGTATTTAAAATAAATAAATTCATTCTTACCTTTTTATGGTTGTTTGATTATTAATTGCTATTATTACCTGCTTAGAGTTGGCTCCTTTATAATACTGTGTAGAATTTACCTCATTATTCCTCAGTTCTATCGATTTGTGATAGAACCACGCTCAGCATATTATCCTGTAGTACGACTTGGGCATGCACCATGCACTTGCAAGTCATCTCTCGTCAAAATGATGGGATATGGGTTTTATGATCACCGACACTGGGTGAAACCAAACTGCATAGAGGTATAACGGTAGAATGACGGTGACACAGGGAGATAAAAGGTAAGTTCAACTGCTCTGTTTCAGGTCTCGAATTCGACTCACTCGATCCGTTTATTCGTATGTGGCTTGAAGCCTATCGTGTAGAAAACATCGTACAAAGAGATGACAGATCCCATTTACTCATCGAATGCGCACGCTTACAATTTCATTTCGTATATCAAATGCGCCGGTTACTAATACACATCAATGGGGTGATGGTGAAGGGATATAGAAAACGAATAAAAGAACAGAAAGAAAGGTATTAGTATTGGTTACATTAACCCCCCATCCACACACACAACGAAAAAGAAGCATAGATGCACAGACAAACAGAAATAACACATTTGATATTTTTTCCACAAAACATAGTCACTAAAACACTACCGCCATCTGTTGAGTATCATGTGATGGATAGTACGCTGAACAGATGGCGCTAGTGTGCAGACGTCAAACGCAAGGGAACCGACCGTGCGGCACCACCAACCAAAAACACTCGAATTGACCGTCAAATGCGTATTCGATGAACAACCTGTCCAACCGAGTGTTATGTCTGTTTGTCTGTGATAGATGGGTTATTAGGAAAGTACAACTACATTATAACTATTAGTGCAATGGATGAACGTTAGTTTCGGGGTCATGTTAGTGTTAGAGTTTTGTTAGTATTGACCCGTATTCAGCCCTGTCGGCCCCTCGAACACTAGTCGCAGGCAGTTGTTGTTAGGACATGCGACACTGTCACTGCTACTATGTTAGAGGTATGACCCGTCAAGTTTCGAAGTGCAAAAAAAAACTGTTAGAACTTTCTTATAAATTAACTTTACACTCAAAGCAAACTATTTACCTTAGCATTACAAAAGCGAATTTAACATTACTATTTTATTTTATGCTAATATTAAAATTATGATAAAACTACAATTTACGGCTCCGTGAAATTAACTCGCATGAACCTTTCAAATCAATGAACTGGAGAAAAACTACAATTTTAACAAATTGCAAAAAAAAAATCATAGCGACACTTGACAAATCATCATCAAGCCCCTCATCCTTGGACAGGGAAAATTTAAATGCGATTCTTGAAAAAATATACACGGTTAAAAAACATGTGTTTTTAATAAAAATGTAAAAATCGTGAAATTTTCAAAAAACCATAACTTTTTTTGAGTTTACTATCACCAAACTTTGCCAGTTAGTGGCAAACATTATTAGCTTCAATGAAGCTTAAAACGAAAATTTTCAAAAATGTACTTTTTGAGAAATTAACTTTTTTAATAATAAAGATAATTTTCTTCATTGATACAAACGAATTTTTTTAAAGTGTATATTTTTTTAAACAATTGCCAAACTAATATCTACAACTTTGCTCAAGACACCAAATCAATCGAACAAAGCGTTTCGGCAATATATATTTTTAAACTCATTAGTACTATTTTTACACAGGCCCTTTTCAAAAAGTAGTCGTGATTCAATATGAAAAACTGAGAGCACAAAATGGCGCCTTTACTAAAAAGGAACAACTGTGCAAAGTTTCAGCGTAATTGGAAATTATCGGTCAGGATCGATTTGCGAACCTTCGTGGAATGCCTCTAGTTTGAATTAGTCAGTCACGAACATTGTAACACGAAAAGGGAATCTACCCACGTTACGGAGCGTGACGGCATTTACTGCCGATAGTTTATGTCTCGTCGACCCCCTCCAGCTCGACATCCTATTTCCACCTATGAAAGAGATTTGACTGTAATATGAAAGTAGATGCCAATTGATAGTGGATAGCGTTGCTAAAACAAAATTGACGAAAAGCCATAATATGGGACTGATATGCGATTATAGGCATTATGCTCGTGGTGTTTTTGAACGGAAGGTGTTGCGGTGGAGGCGAATGAACCGCGACTTGCACCAGATGATAGAAGAACCATCCATCATCGTTCACACCGCAAAAAATCGGGTGACTACGATGGGTTGGGCATGTCCTAAAAATGTCTGTTGACAGTTCGGTGAAAATAGTTCTCGATAACGAACCGACTGGAACGAGACGAGCGGGCAAGGTGGACAGCAAGGACATAAGTAACATATTTTAAAAACTATCCTGATTTATTCTGTGATATCTTAAACTTTTATAGTAAAAGCCAATTACATGTCAGATTTTGCGTTTATTTGCAGTTATTTTTAAATTGATCTTTTCATTGCTAATGAGTTTAATTTTACATTTTAACTGTCATAGCTAGCTGAATAAACGTTTACATTCCAAAACATCTGTGTTGGCCTTTATTTCAATTGCATCATTCTCATATATATTTAAAACAGTTTGAAAACGTTTATGTTAATACTGAGCCAATCATCACCGCGCGTAAAATTATACACCTATTCAACCACCATTCGCCAACCTCATCTAAATAATTGATTGTTATTCGTCCAGTTCTGCGAGATTCTTAGTAAACTTTTTCCTTGCGTAGATAGATGGGTGATTTCCGTTTCTGTCTTTTTTTTCTTTTACTGAGAGTATTCGTTGATAACGGCCATCTCGTCCGCGAGACTGCTGCCGTGCATGTGGCTGTTCGGCGCAGCACCATTGAAATCCTCCACTTCCCGGAACAGGCGCTTGTTGAACTTGCCGTACCGATCGATTTCATCAAAATTGCGCTTCATGTTTCGGTCATTTCTCAAACGCGAGTTGAAGCCTTTATGGTTCGCCATGGAAATGGACAATTAGATCGTGGGGAAGGGGGTTACTTCGAGAATAGGCTTACCTGCATGTCGGTCAATTTCGTCAAAGTTGCGCTTGACGGTGTTCTGTCTGTCGTTCAGATCCATGAAGTCGTAGTTGCGTTTGCCTCCGAAGGTGGAATAGCGATCGATTTCGTCAAAGTTACGTTTGTCGTACATCGGGGCCAGTCCACGGGCGTAGTAGTTGTACAGCAGCGTTCGGCGGTCGGAGTTGTTCAAAGATCGTTTGGTTTTCATCGAACCAACCGAATTGGGATCTGGCGCAAGGTGGCTGAAAAGAAGCAGGTGGCTTTGATTCGAAGAGTATTAGTCAGTTAAAATGATTGAGGCACGTTACCTTCTCTCCTTCTCGCCGCCGCCTCTGTGCAGATCCGTCGGTGCAATCTGGGAAACTTTAGTAGAACAGTTAGTTAGTTCAGAACGATTAATTTGTATGTCGATTATAAAGAGTGATAACAAATTCAAATGGATTCATTAAACCTTCATCTTTATTCATAAATAGAGCTTATGGGAAGAAAACGTAGTTTATCAAGACACATCCATTTCAGAAAGGTCATCCGTCGGTAGCGTTTCCGATTTCCCCCTTCATTGGGGTTTCTCTAGACGAAATTATTGGGTTTATTTTATTTTTTTCCATTCAGGGACATTCATCATCATTAAAATGCGATAAGGAGGGCGGTAGAGAGGTACACAATTTTTCAGACATACTGCGCCTACTGCGTTCCTGTTTTTAGGATCTTCCATACCTGTCCCATTTCTCACAACCTTTATTCTAAATTGTATGAAAAGGAAAATGAAAAATTAGCTGGAAAAAAATACTCATTCGTTGTCAGCATTGGGGTGACAAAATTTAAAACTAATGTGCTTCTTCATGTGGAAATTATTTCTTCAGCAAATTTCCACCACCAATAGAGTCCAGGGACCGTTTCAAGAGGTTGCCTCCACCAATCGAGTCTAGCGAGCGTTGATTGCGGCCGAAAGTGTTTGCACGGGACGGTGCCACCTCCAGTGGGGAGCCTCCATTCAGCACCAAGCGGTTGAAGTACAGGTATTCTGCGAAATGTGGCGATTGGAACGACGTGAGAAAAAATAGACGTAAACTTGATTAGAATCCAAGGCGATGAAGGAGGCTTAATGGGACGTATACCTGAATTTTGCATGAGCAGACAACACAAACACACACACACGTGGACACATTAAATATTCACGTGGGACACAGAAAACGGTACACTTATTTTTTTCATCCTTCGAAGGTGGCTATTTTGCTTTCGATTCCAGGAGGGACCGGCGTCGCCTTAGCAGAGCTCGGACAAGTCACAGATGATTGATTGTGAGTAAGTTGACGATGAGTGTATGAATGATGGCAGACGAATTCGAATGGATGGGTAGTAATTAAGGGGACTTGGAAGAATTTTCCATTAACGATTTGAGTGGACCACTTCTGGTAGGAGGGAATTAACGCCGCAAGAACTAGAAGCAGTTTGGTGTTTGTGCGGCGGTTATTAAACAAAGTAGGCTTGATTGCTTTTTTTTGGCAATGAACACCGCCTACTAAACCGTTTACAGGCTGTGTTCCGTTTGGTGAATTTTCACTTAAAAGTGAAAACCCTACTGTTGTAGATTGACCGATTTTCTAGGTGGTAGTAAAAATTAATTCCTGTAATAATAACTTTACATCATTCCTCGTCGAACGTTCGACAGAGCAAGTTTGCTTACGCTACTCTCCCGCCGCCGCAAAAGTGTTTTTCGGAAAAAAGTGGATTTTTTTTCTCTCCCCGATCGGAGTTTTTTTTTACACCTTCAGGTGTGCAGTGCCACAGGCGGACATAAACGTTCCCCGGAGGAAGCAACCATCTCAGCCGAGTCTGAAGATTGGATTGTCCAACGGTAAAACTATCAACCACCACCTAGACATCGCATCATACGGCATCAAAAGGTCATCACCCGTATACACCGTACAACGAAGCAGCAGAACTGCAGATACGGTCTATACAGACCAGACGGTGCCCTTTGTGCTAAGCCACGTGCTGCAACAATAGAGCGATCATCTCTGCTTCATCGCACAGTGGAGTTTGTAAACGCGCCATCCCGGCATATAGAGATAAGTTAATTTTTTTTTCTCAGCCTAATTCTTTTTTTTTTTTTGTAAATAATTTTTTTTTTTGTTTGGTTTTTGATTTGCTAATATTAAGTAATCCCCCTGCAGCGTTGAATTTCCTTTCTTACAAATTATTATTTTTATTATTATTCATTATCTTATTTAGTTTTTTTTTGCACATATTTTATTTTATTTTTATTTTTTTTTAACACTGAGCAATTCACTCACAGTGTTGACTTCCTTTTCTTGTTGTTTCCTTTCCAATTTCAATCCATATATTTGAAATTTGTGGAAAATATAAACATTTAATAACTAAGATTGCAACCAATTCCGTTGCGGTGGTATCTTAAGTCACCGCAATGGATGATACAAATAAAGGCGGGGGTCTGTCGCTTGACATCTCTGATGATGAGTCAATAAAGTCTCCCTCATTTGAAAAGCTTGATAGCTCTGAGGAAATGGATATCCTCGAAGAGCATCTTGATCAAACCACCAGCAAGAACACTGGAGCCTATCCAAAAGTGAAATCTCTACCACAGCCCCCTTCTCCTCCATCGCCGCCTTGTCCACCATCGCCGCCTTGTCCTTATGTGCCCCCTACTCCACTCCTTCCCCCGAAAATATCAGCGACCCCCCGCCACAAGGCTTACCCTGATGACTCGAAAGGTCCGTGGGTTGTTTTCTTCCGGCCCAAACAAAAACCTTTGAATATTTCTCGGATTTCGAAGGATCTGACAAAACATTTTTCGGCCGTAACCGATATCTTTAAGGTGACGCCAAACAAACTGCGCGTTACCGTTGATAACCTGAAACAGGCAAACCGAATTGTTGCCTGTGAGCTTTTTTCGATCGAATATCGAGTCTACGTCCCCAGTTGTGACGTAGAAATTGAAGGAGTGGTCACCGATTCGAGTCTGACTTGTGAGGATTTCCTGCAAGTTGAATCTTTCGGCATTTTCAAAAACCGTGCCCTTCCGAAAGTCAAGATACTGGACTGCATTCAACTGCAGTCAGTGTCGCACATAGGCACAAACAAAAAGTATACCCTCTCAGATTCGTTTCGTGTGACCTTTTCAGGATCGGCATTACCTGACTACGTCACAATTGGGAAGGTTCGACTACCTGTACGCTTGTTTGTACCGAGGGTAATGAATTGCTTGAAATGCAAACAACTAGGTCACACCGCGGACTTTTGTTCCAACAAACCGCGGTGCGATCAATGTGGGGAGGAGCATACGGAGGGTCCTTGTCATGCTACACCAATATGCGTTTACTGTAAGGATGCTCCGCATGCTCTGAGTGATTGCCCGAAGTACAAACAGCAGGGAGAAAAACTAAAGCGGTCCTTGCAAGCTCGCTCTAAGCGCTCGTTAGCAGAAATTTTGAAAACGACCGCTTCATCTTCCCAAACCACCCCAAAAAGCAACAACACATTCCACCTCCTGCCAGATGATGATCAGGGCTCTGACTCAGAGGTTGGTGAGAGTAGTCCTTTTGTCTTTAACGGCAACACGAGGAAGCGGTCCAAAACAAACGTCACCCAAAAACCTCGTAAGGCCTCTCGTACGGACTCTCAACCTACCTTGACAAATTTAAGAGGTAGCGGAAATGTAGCAAAACCCCCACCACCGGGATTTCAAGTTTGTAATTTTAACAAAGACTTTCCGCCACTTCCGGGATCATCTAAAACCCCAGATATCCCAGTTTTTCAGCCAGAAAATCAGCTGAATAATCAGCAAGAACATGATACCATGTTCACGTTTTCTGGAATTGTGGAGAGCATCTTCAATATATTCAACGTCTCTGACTCAACTAGGAACATTATTAATTTAGTGCTTCCATTTGTGAAAACTCTTTTGAAGCAACTAGCTTCTAGGTGGTCCTTCCTTGCATCGATCATATCTTTTGATGGATAATTTTCCGAATGAGGTCGAAGATATGATCTCTCTTCTTCAGTGGAACTGCAGAAGTCTTATACCGAAACTTGACGCATTCAAATTTTTAGTTCACAACTCACTTTGTGACGCATTTGCTCTTTGTGAAACATGGCTTTCTTCAGACACCGATCTCCCTTTCCACGATTTTAACATTATTCGCCTTGATCGAGCAGATTCGTATGGAGGGGTGCTTCTAGGGATTAATAAGCTCCATTCCTTTTATAGAATCGATCTGCCTTCCGTGACAGGCATTGAAGTTGTCGCGTGTCAGGTAAATATTCGAGGTAAAAGCCTCAGTATTGCCTCAGTATATTTTCCTCCGAGAACTGCGATTTCTCGCCAAGGTCTCTCAGATATCTGCTCAGTTTTATCTGAGCCTCGGTTGATCTTAGGAGATTTTAACTCTCACGGTACAGGCTGGGGGGAACTGTACGACGACAACCGCTCAACCTTGATATACGACATGTGCGACATCTTCAAAATGACAATTCTGAACACCGGGGAAGCAACACGAGTAGCCAAACCTCCAGCAAGAGTAAGCAGATTAGACCTCTCACTTTGTTCGAGTTCACTAGCGTTGGATTGCTCGTGGAAAGTAATCCAAGATCCCTACGGTAGTGATCATTTGCCAATCAAAATTTCTATTACCAATGGTTCATCTTCCACTAGCTCGGTTGACATCGCGTACGACCTCACGAAAAACATCGACTGGAAAAAATTTGCGGCCACGGTTCTCGGTGGTATTGAATCGGTTGAGATACTCCCTCCGCTGGATGAGTACTCCTTTTTATCGCGACTTATCGTTGACTGCGCTCTTCAAGCACAGACGAAACGCGTTTCGGGTGTTTCCATTCGCAGACGACCTCTCACTCCGTGGTGGGATAAGGATTGCACCAACGCGAACAGCGAGAAGTCCGCCGCGTTTAAACGCTTCCGCAAACACGGTAAGGTCGAGGATTTCGAGCGGTACACCGACCTCGAGAACACTTTTAAGGGCTTGATTAAAGCCAAGAAACGCGGTTACTGGCGTCGGTTCGTCGATGGTTTGTCGCGAGAGACTTCCATGAGAACACTCTGGAATGTCGGCAGGAGAATGCGAAACGCGTCATCACCGGTCAACGAAGACAAGGAGTACTCAGACAGTTGGATATTCAGCTTCGCGCGGAAAGTTTGCCCGGATTCGGTGCCGGTTCAAACCAACGTTCGTGATCGTCCGTCGGGTAATAACGAAATAGATTCTCCGTTTTCGATGGTGGAATTCTCACTTGCTCTCCTCTCATGTAACAACTCAGCTCCAGGAATGGATAGAATCAAGTTTAACTTGCTCAAAAATCTCCCAGACGTCGCGAAGAGACGC